CGAGATCTTGATTCAGCCTTTTTCTGGTAGGGGGTATACTCTCGATGAGCAGAAGTAGATGCACAATGAGATTTACCCTGGATTGCCCCAGTTAGTAGGATTAGTGCTCTATATCTGTCTGTCTCCTATTGTTACGAGAAATCCCTTCCTCGGCCGTAGTGAAGAAGTATAAAGAGTTGTTGACCAACTAAAAGCATGGGAGTTGAAACGCAATGCATTCTTTTCGATTCAAAGCAACTGCTTGGCATGAAGTAAGTACAGCATTTCGAAAAGGTCTATCTAAGGCGAATCAAGAAATAGAGTACATTACGCGAGAAAGAGGGGATTCTAATACGTTAACAGATTCAGAAAGCATAAAGGAAGCGAGTGACCACACAAGATCGGCGCGGTTTTCTTCTATAAAGCACTACTTCCTAGCCCGGGTTGGAGAACTGAAATGGATTTCAATCTATTCAGGTATAGGTGGGATGGAGACAAGTACCAGCTCCATTATATGGTAGGCTTTCGGGCAGCTAGTTGGCCTTTTAGATCGGCTTACGCTTTCCTCTGAGGAAGTGGCTAGAGATGCACGAGGGAGTGAAAGCCTCTCTGATTGAATGCGGGTCTTGTGTTATAGGAGCCGAAGCTGCCTAGTCCTTTAGGTCAGTCAGTTAGCCCACTACGCCATCAGAGACTGGATTAGAGCTGGACTGGACCTCCACTTTCGGAAAGATCACCGCGTAATGGAGACTCGCTTTTGACCTAGAAGCTGACAGATGGATTGGCCTTGCCTACTTCATTGCTCACCTTTTTTCTCCCTTCCTTTCTTCTTTAAAGTCGCGATTTCAACGATCTGGTCCTTCGCCCCAGACCACTCTTATTTCCCTGTCACCCGAAGTAACAAAGTCACACAGCCACCCCCAGCTCTTCGCAAATTGGACCTTCAACTTCCCTACGACTTCCGGAAACGCGTCTTGGATGAGCCTAACCGCCGTATACCTTGAAGCACTGTTGTTTTCAACAGCCAGATGGTATCGGAAAGCACCAGCATGCCCTTCAACTACAATCACCACAGCGGTACAGTGGAAGATCTTATTCAGACGAGCGATCGCGCTAGAACTTTGAAGCAGGGGAATTCAAGAGTTCAATAGAAATCAATAGGAACTTACGGACACTAGTACTAGTGGGAAATTTTCTCTTCATTGTCTTTTTTACTTTACATTCGTTGGACCAAAAATCATACAATAGCGAGAACGAGGAGGAACTCATGATGGTACCCCTTATAAGATAATAAGAGAGAGGGTTGGTAGTGAACAGCGGATCTGCGACACTAGATCATAACAGCTGATATGCGATAGTAGTAGTACTAGTACGAGTAAGACCTATGAATCTTTGACAGAAAGCCGTAATTCCATGAATTTCATAAGCCTTTTTTATTTAACCGGTGACGAGGTTACATAGTAAGAAAGGGATGCCACCCCTTAGTAGCTAAGTAGCAAGTGAGCATGCCCCCGTAAGGAAAGGGAATTCCGAGAGCCCTTACTTAAGCTTAAAGCCGTAAAGGATACTAATGGTTCATCCAGAAACCGAATGAAGGACGCGAAAGTAAGAGTACAAATATGACGTGGAGAAGAGCTTACTGACTTATGAGCAAAAGTGGCGCGGAAACGCGGAAAAAGAATAGAAGTCACTCGCGGATCACATGCATGCTATTGCGACAAGACTTAACACTTACCTATAAAATGAAGTAGGAGACTCGAAAACAAAGGCGCAATTTACGTCACAGCTACTTTCTTGCAACAACTATAAAACGTATTTTTCATTTATCAGAAGGCTTGTCGTAAGTGATCACAATCACAGAACCTTCAGCCCGATACGATATTTCAGGTGTAATACTCGTGTAGGAGTGTCCCATACCCATAGTCAAGAGAAAGTAGGAGTGGGATAAAGATAAAGCGGTATTACAGAAGCGGCTTTAGGAGGTGTTCAAAAGACGACATTTAACCCAAGGGGAATGAACGAAGATAGAAGCAAAAACAGTAGCCAGATCCTCTTCCCCCAGTTGTCAAAGTCAAGGGAGCTGCTCTTTTTTCCTGTCTAAGTTAGTTTAATGACGCTCCTTTCCACTTTTATCATCCTGCAAGTGCAAGAAAAGGCCCCAACCTATAGATAGGGCGTTTTCGAGGAAGTAGGCACCTCTTAGATCGATATCCAGTAGGTAATGAAAATCATCTTCCGGAGCATAAAAAAAGAATTGTTCTTTTAAGGTCCTTATCCCTCAGCATACATTACATATTAGTATAGAGCAGAGGCATTAATATGTATGAGTTGGGGAGAGATGGGATATAGCTAATCTTTCTTAATTAAGCAAATGGAGATTTATTTTGAAGGTTAGGTGAAGGGAGCCTATTAATGAGAAAGAGAGCTGTTGATGTTGAAAAGGCTTCCATCCTAGTTGTAGTTGAGAAGCAGGAAAGAAGAGTAGGCATGGGGCTTCTTTCACTTTCTTACTCGTTTTTTTCTTAAGAAAGCAATGATTTTAGCGTTTCGGGGAGAGCCTAGGAGCCATCGTCTTTTTACTCAGCTCAGATAAGCGGTCATCATTCAATTTAGGCATAGGGCCAAAGATCGGGAACTTTCATTCCCAGTATAAGTCCTCGAGTTTCTTGAGCGATTGTTCCATTATCCTTCTACAACCCAGTCTTGTGGAGGAGTCTTTGCACGCACATGAGGTCTGATGAAGAATCCCATGGTCTATGAAAGACTTATACAAAGCATTAGAGATGCCATTCTTTGACAGGATCGGAGAAATCTCATAACTTTCCCTATATGATCAAATGAAAGGGGTCAGAGCCATGCGAGAAAAGGCTTAACTTTAACGCGCAAAAACTGAAATTTTGCATTTCAGCCGTCTAATTCTAGCGTGATTATAGATTATAGAGTAAGGAGAGAAAGGAGCCGGTCCCCATAGCCCATAAAAAAGTGTTCAATTACTTTGACTCAGATGGCACACCAGGTATGTCCCTCCAAGGGAAAGACTGGCACTGTGTTGAACATCTAGAGCCGGACCGGAATGGGAGCGCATGTCCAGCTCAAGCCCAGATCCTGGTTTTTTATTAGGCCTATTGCTGTGAACATGACTCTTTCTTCTGACTTCGAAGAACTCGACTCCTTCCTACGCGCGGGGAATGAGTTCTCTAATAAGATTCCGAGCAGTAAGCGTGCAAGTGTGAACATGTACAGTCTCTCGTGAGGCCGCTTACTCGTCAATTGCTCCTTCTTGGTTTCCTTAGTATGTAATGCGATTGAAGCTTTTAGAGAATCTCGTAGCGATTGGTACTGTGTGAGAAGAAATCCCGGTAGCTAAGTGGTTTAGCGGGCGACAGTTAGAGTTCAAGTGAATGGTCGTTGTTGTGTGGGGTCGACTCCCCAACGAGATATGTAACAAATTTCGTAACGTTAACGTAATATATTATATATAAGAGGCTGGTTTTTATGCAAAAAAAGACAAAACGGGATTCGATTTCCACTCATAAGGAAGGAAGGTTAGATACCTTTGACAGGGTTGTATTTTTGGTTGAAATGGGATGGTGTTCAAACTCCCGAAATGCAGTCAGCAGGCCTTCCCCTTTACTGACTGGACTGACTCGGGGAAGGGGTGATCTCCTCCGGAGCATGCTGCACAGCCACTCATTCGTTCTGACTAAATAGTAGAATATATCTCTCGGCGATTCTTTTCTCCGCTAATAAAGCCTTCCCAACCAGCCCGCCCGATCGATTTTGTAAGATCGGCTAATTCAAAGATCTGGTCCGAAGTTGTCGGAACGAATCGTTTGCTTTATCGAGCAAAGCTTTCTCTGGGGGTCTTGGTTGGCCCCGCTCTTTTCAACCAACCTGGCGTCGCCCCGCTTTGCGATATGAACGGACACGAAGAAAGAACGCAGGCAGCGGAAATGCAAAAGAGAAGAGCAAAGATTCCAGACCCTTATTGACTCAATCACAAATCTGTTGAATGAAGGTTCTCAGCCACTAGTTAGAAGGAAATAAAATCCCTTGACTTCGCTTATTTCTTTATAAAGAAAGCAAGTGAGGCGGGCCATTCGAAGTAACGTAACAAGATTCTATGTTGCACCATCTTCCACTCTTCCCGGGATCCGGGGTTTTTGAGAAAAGGTCCCATCCTTCAATATCATGATTGGGTCGACCAGGCCAGATCATGAGTGAATAGAAAATCGAAAACGTACATAGCTGTTCCAGCTGAAATACTTGGAATAATTATACCACTTCTACTAGGAGTAGCCTTTTTAGTGCTAGCTGAACGTAAAGTAATGGCTTTTGTGCAACGTCGAAAGGGTCCTGATGTAGTGGGATCGTTCGGATTGTTACAACCTCTAGCAGATGGTTTTAAATTGATTCTAAAAGAACCTATTTCACCAAGTAGTGCTAATTTATCCCTTTTTAGAATAGCTCCAGTGGCTACATTTATGTTAAGTCTGGTCGCTCGGGCCGTTGTACCTTTTGATTATGGTATGGTATTGTCAGATCCGAACATAGGGCTACTTTATTTGTTTGCCATATCTTCGCTAGGTGTTTATGGAATTATTATAGCAGGTCGGTCTAGTAATTAGGGGGCGGCCGTTCGGTCGCCTATGATACTAGGACCAATAGGTAAAAATGGGTTTGTGCCGCAGGTGTTGAACGATCTACTCTACACAGGTGTGGGCTTACAAGGGCTAGGGCTCATAAACCCTTTCCATTCATCAATAGGGCCCTGGTCGGTCACTTTTCCGGGCCGGGATCGATAAGTGGAAGTCATAAAAAAGAGATGTTTCTCTTCGCACCTCAGATCAAATCAAGAGGCAATGTCATTGTCAAGCTGGCATATATATAAGAACAATTATAAGGATATAAAAAAAAAAAAGATTCGCTGTCCCGGCTGTTCTTCTTTGTCAACGCTACTAAGGATCTTTAGGTTCGCCTACTTGACTTATGAAAGAAAAAAAAAAAGGCTTTTTCAAAAAGGAAAAGGCTATACAATACATTAGTAGAAGTAAGCGTTAGCTTAGCCTACCCTACTAATGTATTGTATAGTAGGGTGTAGTATAATAGGCGAGCAAGTTAGCGAAGACGCTTAGGCTAATAGATAAGAGAGCGTCGGTGCGTAGCCTTCATTCTACTACGCTACGCAAAGGTTACGAAGTCACTTAGCTCGACGTTAGGAGAGTCAAGGGGGAACGCCATACCTACATAGAAGAACCGCTGTTCGCTGCCTTTAGAAGGTCTAACCTTTCGCTCCCCTACTGAAAAGGGTCATTCACGCTTCGCCCCACTGATAGACTACTTAAGATTCAATTCAAAAGGCCCTAGCTTAGTTTCGAAAGCCTTTGTCATTGTCAGTCAACTAAGCTAGGGCCTGAGGCCCCCTACGAATCCGTAAATCTGAAGAGCATGCCGCAACAAAAGGATGGTCCCCTATGCATTTCATTCTTTCCGGAAGGGAAAAAAAGAGAGGACCCCCCCATCATGGTGAACCTCTCCTTGTGATCGGGATGAGGTAAATGCCTCCCAGCCGGGGGGCGGATCGAATCGGAGTTTCCTTAGGTATCCACCGACCTACAGTTATCCTTAAACTTCCGTGCTTGGTGGAGAAGAAGCGAACAAAGGTACGCTCGCTTGCTGTCTTGTTCTCTGCCTAAACTGGGATCGCTCGCCAGCTAGGTCAGATTGGAGCAACATTTATTGAGAACATATTACCCATCTTGGGGGACAAGGGGCGGAACGACCTCTCGATCTACTTACTGCAGCCCAGGAATAAAAACGTCCGTCTAGGCCTTCCCTGTTGCTCCGATCCCCCCTACGCCTAGGACGTTGTCTGGGCCAAGAGCCATAGTTAGTTGCTGTTTTCATTTGGTTGTTTTTTTTTTCTCGTTGTTGATACCGGCAAGACCCAGCCAGATGATGTCTACTGGTTGGTAGTGAGAGGACTCTTAGTATCTGCATACCCCAAAGAAAAGGGGACGCTGATTAAAAAACAATCATTTGATTTTGTTTCTTGCTCTCCCTTATAAGCAGGAAAGGAGTCTATCTATCTGCCTAGCTTTGGTAGATTTCCCCCAACGCAATCCACAGAAATTCCACGAATCCCTTGGTGGATAAGTCCGACGACTCAGCAGCAGTTCGGAATCACGTTTCTCGTCTGGTGGATCTGATATAGAGTTAGGGGGCAATACATACCAAAAGGTACCATAAAAGAACTGTGGGCGAGGAAAACACGAACCACAGAGACTCGTGAGCAAAGGAAGAGGGATAGCGCAACCGCCTTCTGGAGTTCGTCCATAAAGAGATATCCGAGCGATAAGGAAACCTTTGACAGAACAATAAAAAAGAAGAATTTAGCAATAAAAAAAAAAATGGATCTTCGGGACTTTCTTAACAAGAACAAAAAAGATGTAGGAAAATCGCCTCCAAATGAGCCGATCTAAAGCGACGTTCCTTAGTTTCAGGAAGTCGAGCGGGAGTGACTAGCCTTCCTTCAAAGGCCAGATGGGTGCCTTCACCTCTGCCTCTATCTCGAAAGAGATTAGTAAGGCGACGGTTCGTAGCGCTTACCATTCTTTGTGATTGCTTATTCGAAGCAGGCCGACTTTATGATATGAAAAGTGGCTAAAAAGCTCCATCCGGCAAAGAGAAGAAACAAGCCCTTCAATTGCGAAAAGAGCGTATTCTTTCCCAAGGGCATTCTCGGCATCTTCACTAGTCGCCTTTCTTGCTATCATTATAGCTTTCTACTAAGGTAATTTATAGCTGACTCTTTAGAGTAAGGAAAGAGACAAGAACTCGAAAGGCGAATGCCTATTCTATTTTCGTATAGCACAAGCCTTTACTCAGTCAGTAGGTGGGAAGTTGTTCTTTCAGTCTTATCCGAGCGCATCAAAGAACCTTTCTTTTTTCTGTAGAATTTTCAGCTGTTGGCAAGGAGCTACTCTTTCCCTCCACTCCGGGCTGGCAAAAGGAGCTCCTCTTCCCCTCCACTCCGGGCTGGCAAGCTTATATCTCTCGATAGCTGCGTCGGATCTTTCCTGAAAGCTGAGGAAGGTGCGAAGCGAACTCATTTCGTCGCCAGGGTGCGTAAGCCTTCTGATCCTACTTTGTCGTTTAGATTATGCCAATAAAAAGAAGGGGAAAAGGCGTGACTGGCAGGATTGAACTCTCACTTAAGAGGGAAAAGTGATTGCCCGACGCATCACAGATAATCGGCTGGCTTTTTGGAAGAGAAGTGGGCAATTCCGCTGTTAGACTTGCCGCTAAAATAAGCTCTTCCAGAAAGAGTAGCAGCTGCAAGAGCTCTCGTCAGCTTTTCGGACCTGATTGACCTAATCAACCCAATAGAATATGTCCATTTTGAAAGAATAAGGGCTTAGAGCCTAAATATAACTAGTCAATCCATAACTGAAAGCAGGGATGGGAATTTAGCCATGTCAACAGACTAGGTAAATTACTTACTTGAAGAGGCATATGAACCCGAATGGGATTGATGGACAGATTCCCTTGCAAAGAAGGTTGACTCTTCAACCAGTCTCCTATCCTTTTCAAAGGCCCGCAGCCCGTATATAGTAGCAGTCTAAGGAAACACTTTATATAGTTCCAGTGTAAGGCCGAACCCTAAACTTAGCTAGCTAATAAGCTAATAAAGAAGGGCTTCCCCTCTTCCAGGCGATTTCAATTGGAGTTCCCCGTCAGAAGTGACACATAGTTAGGGCATTCCCATCCAGTAAGAAAGCGAGCCTGTAAAGCCTTACAGTGAGACAGCTAGCAATCCATCAAATCCTGTGAGAAAACCATTTCCAGCCCAGCTTGCAAATGAATCTTACGAGCATCTTTCATATATTTGTAGACCATTTGCCTTCGATCTTGGTGCCCAAAGCATGATCCAATCTGAACCCGTTGTAGGAACTGATGCCGGCCTCCAAGAGACCATCTCGAACGGCGGATTGCCAGTTCTTGAGCTCCGGACGGAACGTAATGGCCCTCTCGACCCACTCGTACTAGACTTGACGAAGGGTGCTTCAAAGAAAAGGATTTTACGATAGAAAGACTGCCTCAGAGTGCGAGGTAGGCACTTTTCCTTTACTACGATAGATGACTCTGGTACAGTAGCACCCTGACTTAATAATCGCATAGGCACCCGGGAACCCTACTCAGTAAAGAAGGGGAGTCCCTAAACTGCTAGCTGGTATGGAGGGACTAGCCGGGGACAGGCAGGATTACGCAAGGTCCCACTCCAGAACGCACAGCTCGCCATGTTGTTGCATCCATAAAACAGGAGGATAAGTACCGAAATAGTCATAGAGGAGGTCGGAAACTTCCTACAAAACTTACATGGCAGGGGTGCTGCAGAAAACATTAGCTCCTTAATCCATAGCGGGGCGGCTGATCAAATAAGTCGGACTCTCGAACTAAAGGAGATCTAACGACAGATGTAGTAAGGGTGCAAGACGTAACCCGAAGAGGGGGAAAGCTAGCTAAAGTCTTATTAGAACAAGTGATCTCTAAGAAGTAGAATGCTAGGGAGAAGCCGATTCGCCACTTTAATAAAGTCTTTTCGAAATAATGCCTCTCGACAAGGCAGGTGCAAAAGGAAAAGTACTAAGGGCTAGAGCAGTGGAATAGGGGATAAAAAACAAAACCTCGAGCTCTTCCCCCGAAAGGACGTTCGTGGTCACGCCATCTGTGAGTTAGTGCTTCCCAAGTAAGAAAGAAAAGGAAATAGACTCGGCTGTTTTGAAGAAAGAAATAGGTTTCTGTAAAAGGAAGTGAAAGTGAGTGCACTACTAGGAGTGTGACGCTTTGTTTAGGCTTCCCTTGCTAGGGTTACAGATAGAAGGATAAGGGCATCGTTAGCAATTGAAGAAGAATCTACTGCTGGGGAAAGGTGCAGATGAAGTGAATCAATAGGAGAAGGGACAAATGGCACAGAGGGAAGAGAAGTCTTAGTTAAAGAAAAGAAATGTCGGAAAAGAGTTTCTTGTGTGAAATGAGGAGCTTAGGAGGGAAAGGAAAGTTGGCATTTCCTTTTTGACTTCTCTGACGATAAGATATTCCCCAGTACTCCGACTACTACTAAAAGAGAGATGAACGTTCAGAATTCATAAATGAATCTTCATAATGGAAGGAAGAGATTGTTAATCGGAAGGGGAAGATTTTGAGTCCTGTGAGAAATTATTTCTCTTGATCTTCTAGGATCTCTTGATGGTTGACTTCTTTCTGCTCTAGGAGCGACGTCTAACAGCTACCTGCAAACTTCTTTCCCTCTTGGCTTGGCTTTGAATTCTTAAGAAGTCCTATTCAAGCACTACTTGTAGATCACACGAGAAAGACGGACTTTTGATCAATTTCCCATCTAGAGCGGAGATTAGCCTTTCCTAGGAGAAAAGAAAGATTTCTTGAGATTAGGCTCACGTTTGATTGTAGGGCGTTTAGGAAAGCCGATGCATATGGGAAAATAAGAGGAAAGGGACTCGGATTTCTTGCATGGCCGAAGCCATAGATCTTTTTTGGTATGCCTAATTTCAGTGGCGACTAACTTGGAAGAAATTCCTTCAGCTGGTCGAAGGAGCCCTTTCGGGCCACCTCTTTCCATGCTTTCCTTGGAGAGGCAAGCATATTCGCTTATTCCGAAGAAGAGATTTTCTCTTCTGCCTTCTCACTACTCTTTCTTCATATTTTTAAATATTGAAACAGGAGGTGGAAAGTTCCCAAAAGTTCTACCCTGGACGTCCCGGTTGCCGGTTCTATATCGTGATCCGTTACGGTAACCGAGCGGTGGAGAGAAGGGAAGGGAATTCATCGATCCTTTTTCAGGGAAAGCGGGAGGGGGAAGATGGCTTACTAGACAGGGACGAGTTGGCTTAACCGTGGAAGGTACGTTCTAGAACTTTTGGATTCTATCGTAGGTAGTGCTAGATCAGAGGTGGAGAGGACGTAAGCTACTTAGAATGAAGAAGACAGCAGCGATTCAGTCAGGAAGGAAGATTCTCACCATGTTTCGGGATGCCTTCCCATTGTAATTGCGGTCCAAAAAAAAAATGCGATCTTTTCCGACAAGTCTTTTTTCATTTTTCATTTAGAAGGAGGCCCCTTTTGCTTTAGCACAGGGCTAGAAGGCTGTGATCTCGACTCAGATGGCTTTTCACTCACGCGATATTCCTCATATGTCAAGGGCTGGTAAGGTTTGATGGTGGGAAGAGACCTCTCGAGAAATGCAGCTGCGATTGCCACTGTCTGTGTCGATAGCAGAAAGTACGACTGGAACCTAGACTGCTAACGTTTATAAGAATCCTTCCTTCCTATGTCGGAGACAGAACCCCTTGTCTTCAGTCGCTATCCCTGGGTGGTACGCAGAAGTCACGGGTCCGTCCCGCCTCTCGTACACATACAGAAAAGAAAGAGACGGTTTGGAACCGGCCCAGGCCCCAAAGAGAAACAATTCGAAGAAGGGGCCTCGAAAGAAGCGCACTCTCTGGTTTGTATGTGTATGGATAGGGAAGATTTGTAAGTAATTTAGACTCTTCTTATCTTATGAGTTAAAGAAAGATGCTAGGTTAATGACTAGGGCCGGTCGTATAAATCCTTGTTCTTTTGTTCTGGGAAAGCGAAAGCCAGCACCTAAGAAGAGAGAACCTTCCTGTCCTTTAGTTCGGAGATAGAGGGAGCACGTTAGGGCGGATCAGAAAGAAGGAACTGAAACCTAAGTTCAATGCAGAATTCTTTTTGCGAGTGAAGTGAAAGTTCAGTTGACTATAGCTTATTGGCAAGCGGGAGGTACAAGTGTCGCAGATCAAATTGTCGGCAAGCAAGCTCAGAAGAAACCGACTTTCCTTTCCGGCTAGTGGTAGCGGTTGAGAGCGAAGCGAACCTTTTCTTAATGTTCATTACCTTCTCCCCCCTTCATTTCCATTCATATTCATTCCTTTCAGGATCAGTCGTGGTCTTACAAACTATACCGATGGTATGAACAAATCCCTTTCTTCATACAAATGCGTAAAAGAAAGATGTTAGCCGCACGCCGTCTACCGTTGAGTTAGCAACCAAAATCAAAGAATTAGGTTATGTAGATACAATCGAAATAATAAAAGAAATAAAGAGATTGAATCGCACGACACAATCAAAACATTTTTCTAGCAAAATCCAAAAATTTCTAAGAACATAAAAAAAAAAGAAAGGTGGTAGGCCGAAGAACCGTTGAACGCTTCAACTTGGCCACTGAAGAAGGCTGGGCGAGAGACTAGGCCAACGTCACTGCTTACTTTAATGCCATGGTTGGAGCTTTGGGCTCCATAGACGGAACTATGTATTTAGGTATTTGGGAGGGGAGGAGAGAAAGAACGCATGCAATGGGGATTGGATTCTGTCTGTCGGAGGTTCGAGAATCTATGAAAGGACATCTAAGACTAAGGAAGAATTCAATAAAGTCCATTACTGAGAGAAGTGGTGATCTCGTCTTGCTTGCTGGGAGAAAGGAAGCTTCCGGACCACCTTTTCCAGCCAGATAGCGAGACTCAGCAATTCACACTAACTGAAAGCGGCCGAGAACACGTACCTATCCCTTACGGGAATCGAACCCGTGTCTTCGACATGAAAAGACGATGTCCTAACCACTGGACGAAAGGGACCAACAAGCCATTCTTCATATACTTCAGCTCCGAGAGTGGTTCGTTTTCTTTCTATACGCAATTCAAGATTGAGTTTGTGTTCATGTTGGCGATTTCTGATGTGA